CCGATCCGCCCGCCCTTTGTCCCCCGCGGCCGCCGCCCGCCGCCGCCGAAGCCGCTTTCTCTGTCTCGCTCCTTCCTCCGCCCCCCGACCACACCCCCTTAAAGGCCCAGCCTGCTCGGGCCCCTCATTCTCACCCCGCCTCTGAGGAGGGACTGAGGAGGGCCTAGTGAGAAGAGGTTCGTGCTTGGCTCTCTGCACCCCTAATTTAACCAGGGGTACTGTGCGCCTGGGGGTTCACGCTTCCGCCGGGACCCTAGTCCTCCTGAACCCTGTCTCCTTCTGTCCTCCTTGCAGCAGGAACTGGGGCCACCTAGGTTTGGAGGGGAGGTGGGCACTGTGTAAGAGAGGTCCCGGGGAGCAACCTGGGAGTCCCCGACGTCTGGGGCTCCCTCCCCGCCAACCCTGGCCAGCAAGGGGCGAGCGTGCTTCTCTGCGCCGGCAGACACGTGCACGCAGCTCCGCGGAGGGGCAGTGGAAAGAGAGGAGGAATTGCCCTGTTGCCCGACGACCTACTTGGCGAGATCCCACACTCATCATGAAGTCCCGCGTGGGGGTGAGCCTCCCCCCAACCCCTTGAAGGGCCAGCCCAAGGCAGCCACCGCCCACCGGCCGAGATGGCGGCAGGGGCGGCATTGTGGGAAATGTAGTTCGTGGCCAGGCCCCGCGTGGCCACCCTGCACCCGGTGGAGCCCAGGGAGCACACTTGTGTGAGGGCTCCCCTTCCCCAGCCGGCTTGGCCGCGCCCCGAAACCAGAGCGCGAACCGGGGAGGGAACTCCGACGCTAAGAACTGGCGAGTCTGGGCGCCCGGACTCAGGATAATGAAGGTAATACTAGCATCTGGCTTCAGAATGCCTGTTTACCGGGACCCCCACGCAGTGGGTCCTGAAGCAGGGGATGCAACCTATTCCCTCCCCTTTTGATTGTCTGCATCTTTTAAGCGTCTCATTCATTTCTTCATTGTGCCTCCCACTTCTGGGTGGTGAGCTGATGGAGGAGAGCTGTGTGGACTTTGTTTGCTGACGCCCAGGCTTTGATCTGCCGGCTCCTCTTCAAACCCTGGAATGTGAGGAAATTACCTGGGCCCTGCAGAAACGCAACACCTAGAGCTGTCAGATTGTTAGCAGGCGCTCCACGCTCTTGAAATAAATGAGTGAAAGAATGAATGGATGGGTGTGGTGAGTTACTTCTGGATCGCAAATTCAAGCCATCTTGAGCAATTAGGAAAGACCCCCATCTCTAAATAAATAAATAAATTTTTTTTGAATGAGAAAAAATGACTGGATTCCTCAAAAGGTTGTGGTTGAGTCACAGGGTTAGATAAATGAGGAGCTGGGATTTTGAGCTCTATGACTCAGCCCCCATTCTCCCACCCCAATTTAAAGTCCCTACTCACCCCCTCTCCACCTTTCCCTGGACACCCCTCAAGGGGCGTGTGCAGTCCAGCCTGGGCTGTCTTTGTAACAGGATGCTCACCCTCTGGAGTCCCAAACAGGGTCTCAGGATCCAAGAGGCAGAAAGTCCCCACCCCTCAGAGGTAACCCTTCTTTGGATGCTGGAGGAAGAAGTCCTCCTGCAAGTGGGATTCAGAAAGGGGTATAGATCTGCCCAGGGTCACACAGTTGGTCCTGCATCCAAACAAGAACCTGGAGCTTTAGTCTCCTTCACCCCATAGTGGACAAAGAGTCAGAGAAGAGGCTGTGAACAGTGTATGTCAAGGTGAGGTGCGTTCTTAGGGTTTAGCCGGGGAAGGGCTGACAGTTGCTCTTGGCAGTCAGGCAGGACCCACTTATCCAGAGCCTGACCTCCTGCTCCAAGCCTGGCCTGATAGGAGCATCGTTGTACCAACTCCTAATTCCCCACCAAGGCCTATCTCACCCTGCCAGGGCAAGACAGCTCTTTCTGAACCCCAGTATTGAGTTGGGCCTGTGGGTGCTCATGATATGAGGAGGGACACATGTGAATGGCTCTTTGTGCCCAGTAGCTACTGTGGGAGTGGGTAACCCTGAGAAGTGATCTTCCTGTCCCTCACGGGTGGTGTGAAGGTCTCCAGTTAAGCCCAAATGTCAGGGCTCTTCTGAGGGCTCTCTGGGGCATGCCCTTTCTGCCTTTCCCTCTAGCCTTTCCTGGTGCCACCCCCAGATTCCTGGGACCAACTCTCCTGTCCATCCAGTGCCTTCCCATGGCCACTCACCCTAAGAATAGAGTGCAGATGGCATGCTGGCTCGAAGCCTTGGAGGAGGGCTGCTTGCACCTAGAACCTTAGCCTTGGAGTGCAAGGCCTGAGTTCAGAGCCTGGCTCTGCCTAGTAGGCCAAGAGACAGAGGGTGAGTCACTCACCTGCCCTAGCCTCCTCCAGGAGGGTGATCCTCCTGACCTCTCAGCGGCCAGGCCCAGAGCTCACTGCATGGCAATGCCTCCCAGGCTTTGTTCTCCTGCTGGGCCCTCCTGGGACTGGAGTGTGTGTGCTGCTGCTCCTCAGGCTTCCAGCTTCAGGCTGTGGTCTCCCAAACCCCACCCTCCCAAGTCCTGGCCCTCTCCCACCAGAGTGTGGCTAAGGCCCTGGGGAGGGTCCCGTGGGCCACAAGCACTCCGTTAATCGAGGGTAGAGGCCGGAAGGGCTGCCTTCCTTCCACCATTACTGCTTGCCGAGAAACCCCATTACCATTACCAAGGCTAGGAGAAAAGTGTCCAAGGAGGAAGGAGCCCTCTAATGGGGGGGGCTGGCCTGGCCTCAGGAGACATGGGGGTGGGGAGGAAAAGCCCAGGCCCAGCCATCAGGCTGCTTGCCTCTTTTCCAAGGAGCTGCTGCCCGATGCTTCTATGAAGTTCCTCTGTCCAAGGATGAGGGTTCAAGATTCAGATCCACTCACTCAGACCATGGCTGTAGCTGGCAGGGTCACTGCCCTGGCACTGGCCCATGCTCTTTCTTCTCCCCCACTCTGATACCATAGCTTTCCTCAAGTCAGGCTGTGTATGTGTGGGAGGGGGGTTCTCCCACCTATTCGCTTATTTCTTCTGTCAACCCCTAACTTCTGGACCAGGAGACTGAGGCACAGAGAACATACTGTGCCATTGGCAAGTGCTAGATTTGAACCCAGGCCTGTAGGAGCAGAGGCCAACCTTCCCCAGCACAGCTGTGTTCTCCCAATGAGATCTAGTGGTTCCTGGGTCTCTGAAGGGTATGGCTCTGCAGCCCTGGGGGATCGCAGGTCCTGTCTCCCTATCTGTCTCAAGGGAAGGAAATGGAGACAAAACACCAGAGGGCTGAAATCCTACCAAGTTGTGTGACCTTGGGCAAGACCCTTCCTCTTTCTGGCCCTCGAGTGTAGATAATAATCACATCCCACAGTGCCAGGGCCAAAGGCAAGAAGATTCATTAGGTTAGCATTGAATACCAACATGGTGGGACTCTGAGGGAAGGCTGATAGTGTCGCAGCACTGCCTGCCTGGGAGGGTCTGAGAGCTCCAGGCGAAGGGGCCCGCGGGGCCACTCCTCTGATGACCCCTCCTCCCCCAGAACCAGCTCCATCTCTTTCTGGGTTTCTAGGTGACTTGGCTGGCCCCTCTGGATGAGTTCTACTTTAAACCTGCAGCTGCTGCCGCCTCTGTATTGGGGGGGCTCCCACAGGGGCCCCCAGGCAGGAGCCCCCCCAGCTAAGCCCTGCGGGAGGGGCCACAGCCCCCACCCATCCCAATGCCCATGCTCCTTCCCCTCCTCCCGGCGCTGGCACACAGATTTCAGGGCACCTGCTGTGGGCCAGGCTCTGCTGAGCCCCTCCTTTGGGGACACCCACGAGGCTCATGGCCCTTCTGGGCAAATAACCTGCCGTCTCTTCACCAAATCTCAGCAGGGAGGCCACAGAGACAGGGTGGGGTCACAGGGTCAGCAGCACCGAAGGTGGACTTCCAGGGCTCACTCCGGGTGTCTGGGTCCTTGGGAGGGAGCTGGCGCCCGGCCTCCCAGGGCTGGGACCGGGAGGGGCGCCTGCCGGCGGGAGGCCCATTAGCAGGCTAAGTGCTCCGGGGGAGGGGGCACCGCGCTGCCGCAGTGGGGTTGAGACAAAGCGAGGGCACAGGATGGGGGTGGCTTTTCCTGCACGCAGCTAAGTGTAGCAGGACGGGGTGGGGACAGAGTTCTGCTTTCCCTGGCCCAAGTCCTGACCTCCAGTCCCTCGTCCAGCCGGTCTTAAGCAATCCCCTGAACACTCCGTCTCCACAACTGTACTCCAACAGGAGCAGGCCCCCAAAAGAATCGGTTCTTGTTCAGTCCTCCTCCCAAACCCCCAACTCAGGCAGGTACGCCCCGCCTCATCTGCCTCTGGCTGTAGTCGCCGCCCCGGCCGCTAGGGGGAGCCGA